CTCTCTAAAAAATAAATACAATCTTTTAAAAACAACAGAGAGGCTATTTTGTGAAAAAAAATTGCAAATTTCACTGGACAAAAAGTTGACTTACTGATTTTTGTACATAGGCTAGAAGAGAAAATTTAAGGCAAAGCAGGTAACACTGGTGGCTCTTTTCTAAAGATATTCTGCACCATCCTTTGCTTTGTTCCTACAGATATTGAGGTGAACCCTGGTATTAAGTGATTGTTCCTTGCCTTGATCTGCAGTACAAGGATTTCCCAGGAAAGAAACATCTGTTTATTAACGTGTGATGCTTTCTGTCCACCCTATTTTTTTTTCACTTTCATTTATTGATTTTTAGAGAGAAAGAGGAAGGGGGTGGGGGAGGAGCGAGAAAGAGATAGGTTTGTTGTTCCACTTATTTATGAATTCAATGGCTGATTCTTGTATGTGCCCTGACCGTGGATCAAACTCATGCATATCAAGACAATGCTCTAACCAGCTAAGCTCTCTGGCTAGGGCCACCCTAATTTTTAAGAAAGTGAGTTTGCACTTCAAATTCTTTTAATACATGAATACTATTAAATATTTCTAATTTTGCTTTTCCCCATTAAGGTTTCTATTGATGCAAAAGGTCATTATTGTATCAATAATGTAATACACATTAATGTATAATAATGTATAACATTACTTATATAATACATATTAATACATCATTGTATTAAATGAAATTTCATACCTTTTTAAAAAGATTTTATTTCTTTTTATAGAGAGAGTAAGAGAGGGAGAAAGAGAGGGAGAGAAACATCAATGTGAGAGAGAAGCATTGATCGGTCGCCTCCCATAGGCACCCTGTGACCAGGACAGAACCCGCAGCCCAGGCATGTGCCCTGACTGGGAATCCAACCAGCAACCTTTCACTTTGAGGAATGGTGTCCGACAAACTGAGCCACCAGTCAGTGCTCATATATTTATGTCCTACATTACGCAACTTTGTCTCCTGTCCTTGCACTTCCCCATGCTATCACACATGTTGTTCCTCTACCTAGAATGTCCAAACTCTTGTCTGACTCTGAATTGACACTTATGATTCAGCTCAAATATGACCTCATTTAAGTCATCTTCTCTGTTACTTTCTATCCTATGCACTCATAGCACTTATTTTCCCATCAACCTTTGGAGCACAAAGAATATTTTTATGTGTGCTTTAAACTTACGTTCCAGCACAATTTCTGGTACATTCAAAGCACCCTAGAATAAAATGCCAAATGCAGAAATGAATGGTATTAAATGCATGTTGGAATCTGACTAACAATGGTGGGCACTTGAAAGGAAGTCAATTGAAGCTAAAATATTGATGATAGTTAACTGTAATTGAATGTCCACTACATGCTAGGCACAAAACTAAGCCATTTCATGGACTTTAAAACATATGTACAACCCATATAAAATTCACCCTTTTAAAGTGTACAGTTCAGTGGCTTTTAGTATATTCAGTTTTGTAACCATCATCATTAATTCTAGAATATTTTCATGACCCCAAGAAGAAACCCTACACATATTAACAGTCACACCTCATCCAGAACCTGTCTCCTCAGCCCCTGGCAATCACTAATCTACTTTGTTTCTCTGGATTTGCCTATTGTGACATTTCACATATATGAAATTATACAATTGTGTGGCCTTTTGTATGTGGTTTCTTTTAACTTAGATGATATTCTTAAGGTTGACTCATGTTGCAGGGTATGTCAGTACTTCATTCTTTACTATGTCTGAATAACTGTCCATTGGCCCTGGCTGTGTGGCTGTGTGGCTCAGTGGATTGAGTGCTGGCCTGCGAACCAAAGGGTTCCAAGTTCAATTGCTAGTTAGGGCACGTGCCTGGGTTGCACCCGAGGCCCCCAGTAGGTGTGGCACGAGAGGCATACATTGATGTTTCTATCCCTCTTTCTCATTCTCTTCCCCTCTCTCTAAAAATAAATAAAATCTTAAAAAACAAAACAAAACAAAGCACCAGTCCATTGAATGTTTACCTGTTCACCAGTTGATAGACATTTGGGCCATTTCTACTTTATGGCTATAATGAATAATGCTGCTATGAACATCTATGTACAAGCTTTTGTGGGGATGTATATTTTCATTTATCTTGGGTATATACCTAGGGAGTGGAATTGCTGGATCTTGTAACTGTTTTCACTTTTTGAGCAACTGCCAAACTGTTTTCCTAAGCAGTAGCACCATACTCCATCCACTGGCAATACTTCAGGCTTCCAGTTTCCCCTCACCCATCCCCTCACCCACATTGTCTTTTGTATTATAGCCATCCGAGTGGGTGAGAAGTGGTATGTCACTACTGATTTCCGTTTCCCTAATAACTAATGATGTTGAGCATCTTTTAATGTGCGTATTGGCCATTTGTATATATTCTTCAGAGAAAGGTCTATCCAGATCCTTTGGCAATTTTTTATTTTTGAGTTTAAGAGTTCTTTATATATTCTGGGTACTAAAGGCCGATAGATTTATCCCTATTTTACAGATGAAGGGACTAAACCTTTGAGGGTTTTAGGAAGAGGCAAGATTGAATCTTCACCTGTGATTCTCCAAAGCCCAGGCAGGCTCTTTCCACTCTTTACTGCTTATTGGTGATGTTTAGAGATAGACTACCTTAGTGGGTGGTTAATATGAAAATGAATGTCACTGGAATTGAGATGAGGGTATTAGTAACTATCAACTGATAGCAGAAGTCAATGGTGGTAGGCCTCAAAGTCATATATAAAATTAAAAATCTGGATTATATGGTTTCTAAGATCCCTTCTCACTCTGAACTTCTGATTCAACAGGCCTTTATGTTTTGCCCAGCATCAAAATAGCAAGTCATGAAAAGCCAATTCGTTAAGTATTAGGACAAAAAGAACTAACAACTTCTGTACATCTCTCTAAAGCTCAGGATTAGTCCCTCTGGGAATTTCTGTCCTGATTTATTAGTGAAAAAAACCTGACCTGCAATCATAGGCTTAAAAAAAAAACCCCCAAAAAACAACATCTTCTACTGACCATTTAATTACCACCTTCCTTAACACAAATATAAAAGCCTGAGTTCTTCTCCATTGCTTTGTCCTGGGTAAATCATAAGATGTCATACTAAACTAAGATCAACTGATTTTCCAGAGTCTATCCCAGTATACACACAATTATTTCACCTCAAACACACAGCCCTTTGCCTAAAAAAGGACATAGATGGAAAAAATGGATGAAGTCTTAGCACCTCACCATTAGAACTATCTTTGCTACCTCCAGTACCAGGTGATTTCAAAAGACTCATTTAGGAAAACTCTAATACTTGTACAGGACTGCAAAGACTGTGGAACAAGTAGGTAAACTGAGCCATTAACAAAGTATCAATGTTGTTTTAGCATGAAATTATAGAAAACTCAGAGAGTATTTTCAATTACACATTTTACTGAAAATAATTTAAAATACATACATTCTGTTTAAAAAAAAAACATATTATTGATACAATACTGAACTTTTCATACAAGGATCATTTAAGTTTTACTCTTACCAAAGTGCCACCTTTATTTTCCTGGATAAACATTTTGCTGAAGAGTCTCTATCGCCCTCTGGTGAAACTTCATGAGATTGGGTGTCCATAAAAGTAATTAAGGCCTCAAAGCTCACCAAAGAACAAAGTTAAATGAGCAGAATTACTGTCTATTCACATCTGACAGTTGTGATCTGCCTAGGAGAGAGGCAACCTAGGTGGATGCCTTTATCTGCTCAAGCAAAGTGTTTCTCCTATCGACACTCAGCCAAGATCACAGCAAATATCCTTTCTTCCTGAGTTTTCATGGTCACTGTCTTCTAAAAAGACAAAAACCTCTCATTATAAGTGGAAAAATTATGTGGGAAAGTCTCTAAGTAATTTAGGTTATACTCCAGACAAAAAAAGAAGTTAACAGGACAGCAAAAATTATAGTTTAGCATGCAAGAAAGGCTTTTTTAGTGGTCCCTGATTCTTCACCATGTCTTTATAATAAAGGACACCATCACCCTAGTCAATTGTGCCTACAGTTTCTGGAAGAAGATGATATTTTTCTCAGATTTCAGAAAGTGCACTTACTACAGATGAGGGCCATTTCTAAAAGTAAACATCAACAGAGCCTAAGTTCATTCTCCAGACCAAATACTTTGGACTTCAGGTTCTTCAGTTCTCCTTGAATCTTATGTGCCCGTCTATTGCTGTCACGAACCTCACACAGAATGGCAAGATCCTGGTTTGCCCGGGCATTAAGTGTTGCCTAGAGATTTGGGGGGAAAAAAATGATTAGAGTATATTCCAGAGGAGGCAAATCAGTCATAAAGACCAGCCTATGCTGGCTCCTTTTTATGACACATTTGGTACAGATGGTAAATTCAACCCTTAGTTTTAGTGACTAACAAAAAGATGGAAAATTGAGAGTAAAAGAAAAATCATGAGACTCTGTGCTTTCCCATACAACAGTAAAGGAGACTTGAGATAGAAATCAATAAACAAGAACAATCAGTAAAAAGAGGAGACCAATATAAACATCACTGGTGAATTTGCCAAAGAAATTACCTCATCTTTTTTATAATCAACTTTGGAACATAGTGATCATTTAGGATATGTGGATAACTGGTTAAATCTCTATAAGAAGGCTCTTGAGGCAACTTTGTTTCTAAATAATGCTGTGTCTGGTAGGAAAAAAATTATTACTCAAATACTCATTTTCCCTATTTGTAACATAGACACAGCTATTTTAATCTACTTCTTGAATTGGAAAGGATGAAAATTTCTGTTACGTTAGATAAAAGTATAATGATGCAGTCATTCAATTATTCAACCTCTTTTTGTCTTCCCCTTGGCGTGTACTTGTTCAACCAACTTTAGTGAGACTTCAAGGATGCTGATCCATAAGTACCTACCATCTGGGAAACAGCACATCTCTTCTGAGGAGCCCTCATGACCATGCTTTCTTGTACCCCTTTTCTCCCTTTTAGAATCCAAGATCAGCAATTACCTTATAGAGCATTTGCTCCAAGTCTTTCAGTTTCTGTCGGAGAACCTTGATATCTGTCTTAAAGCCTTCTACTTCCAAGATACGCCGATTCTCCAAGGCCTCATAGCGTTTTGTCATTACCTGTAAACGCTTCCCCATCTTGTTAGAGCGATCCTAAAAATAGGAAAATGAGAAGGCATTTATGAAGATGAGGGAAGCATTCCCTGAGCTATCTGACGTCCCACACCATCACAAATGGTAGAGAATTTTGTACCTTGAAGATCTCTCTCCTCACTCCCTCTTCCTCACGAATTCGGGCAAGTTCTTCTTCTAGGGAAATGCACTGCTCTTGGTACATGTTGGACAGCTTTTTTTCTTGTACTAACTTATCCTTTAGGGACTGTGAGTCAAAAGGGAAAAAAAAATTACTGAGTTCTATAACTTAGGTACCTCAAATAGCATTTAGGTAGAGAAAGGAAGGAATGACAGGATTTACAGAATTACACATGAGTTAACTAACAGGACAGCAAGGAACTTTGGAGAACATTTGAAAGAGGATTCTTAGCCTTTTTCCAAAGTGTACATAGTAGAAATCCTTTAAAATAAAATAAAAAAAGTACTTTTGGCTCTGAGAAGAGTAGATAACAGAGTTAAGAATTGTCCCAAATAAGAAATAACAATACAGTCAGCCCTTGTATCTGCAGGATCCACACCCATGGATTCAACCAACATAGAACAAAAATATTCTGAAAAAAAAAGGGCACGCTGTTGCTGATGTGTACTATGTAGTTAGGCCTACTGAATGTATACAGAAATTTTTTCCCTGTCATTATTCCCTAAACCAGCAATGTTCAACCCTTTTTATCTCATGACACACATAAACTAATTACTAAAGTTCTGTGGTACGCCAAAAAACAATTTTTTTTTGCCAATCTGACAAAAAATAGGTATAATTTTGATTCATTCACACTAAATGGCTATTGTTGTGTTGGTTGTTGTTTTTTTTTTTTTTTTTTTTTTTTGACAATCTAAGGGAAAAAGATGTCAGTGCCCCTGACTCTGTACTCAGATAGTGCATGTTTTAAAAATTCTCCTGGCACACAGATTGAAAATCACCATCCTAAACAATGCTGTATAACAACTATTTACATTGTATTAGGTATTGTAAGTAGAGATGATTTAAAGTACATGGGATGCCCTGACTGGTGTGGATCAGTGGATTGGTGTCATCTTGCAAACAGAAAGGTCGCTGGTTCAATTCCCAGTTGAGGCACATGCCTGGATTGTGGGCCAGGTCCCCAGCTGGGGGCATGCAAAGGGCAGCAATCATCATTTCTCTCACACATCGATGTTTTTTTCTCTCTCTCTTTCTTCCTCCCTCCCTATCTTTCTAAAGGTAAATAAGTAAAATCTTTAAACATAAATAAATAAAGTATATGGGAGTATGTGCGTAGGTTAATACAAATACTATGCCATTTTATATAAGATACTTGACCAACCATGGATTTTGGTATCTGGAATCAATCCCCTGCAGATATCAAGGGACTACTGTATATGTTTGGGACACATTTCTGGAGTTCTTTAAAAAGAAAGAAACAGCAACATGCATTATACATGTTCCACTGAGCAGTCAGAATGATCTTTTAAAAAGCTAAATAAGCCCTGGCTCAGTGTTTCAGTCAGTTGGAGTGTCGCCTGTACACCAAAAGGTTGCAGGTTCAAACCCTGGTCAGGGCACGTAAGAAAGGTAACCAATTGATTTCTCTCTCTCATCAATAAAAAAAATTAAAATAAAATAAAAAAAGCTAAATAAGATCATGTTACTTCCTTACATACAGACCTAGAGGAAGAGCATTCCTGAGAGAGGGAAGAGCAACTTTTAAGGCCCTGGAGTATAGTCAAGGAAAAAGAAGAATGTCATGGTTATAGAGAAATAAGCAAGGAAGAAGTGGTATACAAGGAGGTTGCAGGGGTACGTAGCAGCGAATCACCAAGAGCCACCCCTCCAACCTCCTTGTACACCACCTCCTTTTTGAACATACACACTGCAAGGCCTTTAAACTTGCTCTTACCTCTCCTTGGAATGCTCCTCCCCTAGATCTCTATGGCAAGCTCAGTCATGTTTTTCAAGTCTCAGTAAAAGCACCAGACTTTAGAGAGTCTCCCTGTGCTTCTCCATAAAAGTAGACTTCCAGCAACTACATATAATCTTCATATAATCCTTTTAATTCCTTAATACTGCTTCTTTTTTTATAATTTATCATTTTCTGTGTTAATGTTTCTGTTTTTTCACATCAAGATGTAAATACCATGATGGCAAACCTGGTCAAGCTTATTTACCGCTGTAGCCCCAGAGCCTAGCCCAGAGTAGGAGTGTATTGAATACTTGTTGAATGAAATGAATAAAGGAATGAATCAATCGATCGACTGTTTCATTTTCTAAATCTCCAAACACTGTAATGATGAGCTACTCTTTGAAACCTATTTCTTGAGGTTGTTGCTTATCAGCTTCCTGGACTGAATGGATCTTGTATGATAATTAGGTTCTTTGAAATCCTCTTGAATTTTTTCAAATTCTTACAGGAAAAAAAAATTCTGTAAGGTACAGAGAAACTACCTTAATATATTCATTTTGTTTTCGATGACTCTCATGAACAACTGGCCAAACTTTTCCAATTTTATCTTCTTTCTTCTTACACTGTACCCTGTATTGCTTAATCTTTGACATCAAATGATCCTTTTCAAGCATCCATGATTTCTCTTTATTTTGGTTTTCCAATCTGAGTTGCAAAAAGTCTTTGGTGCTCTCATAGAGCAGTTCCTGGGTGTGATGGAGACTGAAAGAAGTACAAATGTGAACATGAACATGTTTACACAGCACATATGGCACAGTTATTCCAAATGAAGGGAAGACACAGGTTCTTTAAAAATTGTACAACATATAAATTCTATAAAATATTGTTAGCAGTTTTAGCTATGGCTGGTATGACTCAGTGGTTTGAGCGCCTGGCCTACAAACTGAGAGGCTGCCAGTTCGATTCCCAGTCAGGTCACATGCCTGGGTTGTGAGCCAGGTCCCCAGCTAGGGGTGTGTGAGAGGCAATCAAATCTCTCATATATAGATGTTTCTCTCCCTCTCTCCCCCTCTCTCTAAAAGTAAATAAAACAAAATATTATTAGCACTTTAAAAAATATGCTTAATCTGATCACTCGCAATCCCACATGTTTTATTGGACAGAGTATAATGTACCTACCCATGCTCACTGGTTCACAGACTGCTCTTTACAGGTATTTTGCTAAGTGCTAATTTCAGTTATATAGTCAGAAGGACTGAAAAAATATTTACACACAGCCTGCATAAGTATGGACTATTCCTAGGCACTAGACCTTACAATAAAGAACTAACTCACGGTGTTCTGGCTGAGGATTAACACAGATTCTAAAATGTCAGAAACAGCTTGTTTTTGTTTATGCTGTGTTCTACAGGTAAACTACCCAGATATCAAATCTTACCTTGTTTTGAAGATCAACTTCCTCTATGAAGTCATCTCAACTACTTTACCCCATTTAATTTCTCCATTGTCTGAAATTCCTTATCAGCTTAAATCTAGTTTCTTGTGTTATAATTCATCTTGCTTATATACTGTCATGTTTTACCTGTCAATGTGCAGGTTTTCCAACCTGAGTGAAAGCATATACTTGTTTGTTATTTCTTTTTGCCCTGCTACTATCAAATTGTCAAGGACAGAAACAACTGCTAGACATACACTAGATATTAAACAGATTTCTGCTGATTACTGAGATGTAGAAATAGAAAAATGATGTTTCTATCATGAACAAAGAATATCCCTAGAAGTAAGCAATCCATCAGTTTAACATCTACACCTAGAAAAACACTGTATCAAATACTCAAACTATTTGCAAAGAGTATTAAATACTGTGAGGTGATCACTCTAATTTCCCACTGAACAAATAATGTCAGATCCACTTAGCTCTTTTAATGAGTAATAAGGTACACAGACAGGGAAAAATGATAGGATAATGCCAGGCACAAAGTACGGTAACTGTCAGCAGATGAAAAAATATATATATATATATATTTATAGTCAGGTATGTGTATGTGTGTATAAAGAGGGAGAGATTGATCTAGTTACCACAAGGTTCTCTCTTGCTTTCAGTGAGTTACTTTATTCTATCTTACATTATGTTCTCAATTACAAAGTGGGAGGTATGGTCTTGTTAATGTACAAATGGTGAAAGTGACACCCAAAGGGCAGTCATCAATGGCCTTGAATTTCATGCCATTTAATATCCTGGGAATGACATCATGGAAGGAACTGATCATGTGCTCAGACATGCAGATGATGCTAATTATTATATGATTATTAATATCCTGGAAGACATATAAAATTACAAATTACTATGACAATTAAAAAATACTTTTCCTTTAAAAATAATGAAAATCCAATGAGAAGTAAAAGTGTTATGCTTAAGCACAAAATACCTAAAATAAGGCATTTTCTATCCTGCATTGGTCAGAAATCTTAATTGAGTATCACATCCAATTTTAATTACTACACTTTAAAATGAAGGAAGAGACACTAGAAAAGCTTGAGAATGAATAACAATAAAGAGATGAAGAATGTAACACAAAAAAGTATTTTAAAATGTAGGATGTTTAACATAGAAAAGAGGTGGTAAGATGCAACTTGATAAGCATCACCAAGTGTTCAACAGATGTTTATTGTGTGTCTGTTATGGACACAGGGCAAGACCCTGAAGGGACAAAGACATAATTACAATAGATGCTGATAAATGTCATCATGGAGGCATGCTAATCATTATGAGAATGTGGAGGAGGAACACTTCAATTCTGCCTGGGGAAGTCTTCAGAAAAGGAGTGACACTGCATAGCAAGTTACCTGCCCCAGAGCAAGTGTTCCATGAACCATAGATATTGTTAGTTTGGCTGAAAGACAAAGTAAACTACAGCAACAGAAAAGGAGGTGGGACTGAAAGGTTAAATTAGTGCCAGATGAAGTCCCTAATAATTTATGCTGAGATATCAGGGCTTTATCATAAGAAAAACAGGGAGCTATCAAATGTTTTCATGCACTTGGTAAGTCCTAAAGGAGGAGCTATTAGTAATAGTGAGGAAGAGTAAGGAATACAAAGGGAGCAGTGAAAGGAAGCACATTTAGATTATTGCAAAAATTTAGACAATGTAACTTGAGCCTATATAGTAAGAATGAGAGCAGAGAATGGATTTGAGAGGATTCTTAGGCTTGCACTCCACAGGGTTTAGAATGAGGGAATAAGAATGGGGAGTTCAAGGTAATCCTGAGGTTTCAAGCTTGAGAAACTGGATGTGATGTCATTAAACTAAATGGGAAAAAGAAGAAAGTAGTAGGTTTCAGATGGGGGAAGGGGTACTGATTGGGAAAGAAAAACATACTGGTTTCAATATGGTCAATTTGAGGTGTTCAAACACGTTCTTTCCACCCCCGCCCCCAGAAGAGAGGCATTAAGGATTCATGCTATAAATTTATTTACAAACTCATCTAGTATGTTGAGTTCAACAGTCTGATCCATTTTTCAAAGAAAATGCACCTTTTAAAATGCCCCTCTTCAAGTCTGTTTCATGGATTAACTAAAACATCCTTATTTTTTAAGCAGAAAATTATTACAAAGAAAGGTGCAGCAAATCCAGATCCAAACTACAAAGATATCAGAGTTAGTAACTCCCACCTGTTTTCCACTGAAAATTGCAAGTTTTTTCCTGGACCCTCCTCATAGTGGCTCCTACAGACCATAGAGATTTTGAGCCTCCAAAAGCTCTGTCCCCGCATTTTGCTGTTGGAAGCCCTGCGAAAGGTGCCAAAACCAAAAGTGGAAGAAATGGCACACACTAAGTCCTTTTTTCGAACTTATTCCTCTTTGTGTAAGGACCACACAAAAGTGGTGTTCAAACATATTCAACTGACAATGTCTTTATAGCACAGGTCTGGCCACTGGTACCACACAAAAAGCTGAGGAGGGTTAGATAGGTAGAAGAACTAAAGACAGATGTTGCAGAAATCAAGGGAGATTAACTTCAAAGACAGTGTGATCAGAGGTGCCATACATGCAAAAAGATACTAATTGCAATGAGGATTGTAAAGAGGTAACTGGACAGAGAAATTAACAAGTCAGTGTTGACCCTAGCAAGGGCATGCTTAGTAAAATGATGGGGATGAAACTGCACTACAGAGGCGAGGAAAGGCAGGCAGGTAAGAAAAAAAGCAGTGAGTACAGAGTTTGTATTTTGTTTTTTGTGGGTTTTTTTGGTACAGGTATATAGAGTCATATTTTTCCATATTTATGAAGGGCCAAACAAAAGAAAAGGGCCTTACTATATTGAGCCAGATAACATATCAGCGGGTAAAAGAACATTTCTTCATCACTAAGATCAAGCTAAAGCACTAAAATGGGTTTCACTGAGCATGTGAAATACCCACCCTTGATTCCTCAAGAAATGAATCAATAGCCTTTCTGGACAAGCCACCAACCTAGAAGCAGAGGTGTCTGATAAAGACAATTTCTTCAAGGTTCCTGTCAGTTCCATGATACTATGTTGCAAAAGTACAGGACCATTAACTTTTAAGCTACTCAGAAAAAATTTTAAATCTGTAAGAAATAGCTTCCTTAAACACTCACGTTTTGGTAAGCTCTTTGATTTTGTCCTGATTCCTTTGGTGATGAACTTGTATCTCCTCAATAAGAATCCGTCTATCCTCCATGAGCCCTTCAACTTGTTCTCTAGAAAGCTTGGTCTGTTCTTCCAGCTGAGCCTGTAGTGCCTCCACCTAGATAGGCCAAAAAGGGTGAGGCATCCATTCCTGCCCTGCTTCCTCTTATTCCTTATCTCTAAAAGTCAGCCTTTCTCCAGGAAGAAAAACAAGAACAAACAAACAAACCCCCCCAAATAAAAAACAAAACAAATAGAAGAAAAGCCTCAACGGGCACCCCTCTTTATTTAGTGAGTGGGGTTTGGCTACACAAGGGCAGACCACGCACAGCAAAGCATCTGCATCACACAGAGAAAGCTAGAAAACCCAACTTCCCCTAATCTAAGGTTCTCACCTCTTCACCATCTCTCTTTTTAAACTTGGAGTACTGTCTCCCCTTTAAGACTTCCTAGTTGCATAGAAATAGAATGACCATTTTCTTCGTTTTTTAATTTAAAAAGTAGAGCAAAATGAGTATAATATAATTTCCTTACCTGAATCTGGCTGTCATGACTACAAATGGAGATACTGGCCAAAGATAGAAATTGTCATTTAAATCGATAGAGCCCCCTGAAAATGACAGAACTTGAGTGCAACTAGATGAGAAATTATGGTTGTAAATGATAGACTATTAGGTGGTAAGAGGATGATTCATCACTTTCCTAGACTTAGAACACGTGCGCTAAATAAACTGACATACCACCCCGCTGCCAAAGGTTGATCTATCGGCACAGACAACTGCAACTCTCCATGTATCCCCTAGGCAACCACAAAGGAAATTCTTACTGCATGATAGTTTTGTTGGGTAGGGCTTCGCATATAAGCTGAGTGAACTGAAGGTTCAGAATAGCACCTCTAGAATGATTACTACAGAATAACGGTTTTTAAAATATAAGCTTCTGTAAATTAGGAATAATCTCCATTTTCTTAATCACATGATGCCTAGATGTAACATGTAGGCAAGAAGATACTTATATGGCAGTGAAGGTATAATACACAAAGTAAGCTATGGATAGAAACTGTTTTGGTCTGCCAAAATAAATTCTTTACCTGTAGGATGAGTGTTTGTATGTCTTTTTGGTACTGCTCAGAACTTTCTTCCTTCTCTCTCATTGCTGGTTTTCTTTTGCTTACTTTAGAATCTAAAAGAGAAAACAAAAATAATAAAGACCTTCATTTAGCTTTGCTTTCTGCTATTCAAGTATCAGCATTACATATCAGCATTACAAAAATGAACTCCTTTTGCATAGGAGTTCATTTTTATTTACCTACAGGAGGTAAGAAAGAAAAAGGAAAATGAACAATATTTGTAGCGCTTACTTTTTCAAATAGGAATCTCTGCAAGGGAAGTCTGCTAGAATGCCACCTGGGTAATAACATCCATCTTTCTGAAGAATAAACTACTACATTTTCCTTTGAAGTTGTGTTCATTTCCTTTGTAAAATCTTTTTTATTCAGAAAGGGTAAGAAATACAAAATCTAAATCTAAACATGTTTCGCCCAATTTTTAAAAGACAAAATTATTGTTAAAATAAGCAACACTAGAACTGCACAGGACAAAATTTAACTCCTTGGATAATTCAAGAAGCTCGTGCTAAGAGAGTAGATCTTAAAAGTTCTCACCATAAGAAAAAAAATTGTAACTATGTGTGGTAATGGATGTTAACTAGACTTATTGTAGTGATCATTTTGTAATATATACAATTATCAAACCATTAGGCTGTACACTTGAAACTAATATAGTTATATTATCAATTATATATCAATTTTTTTTAAAAAGAAGGAAAATTAGGATTTCCATTAAAAAAAGAGAGAGATGATTGAGGCTTAGAGAGGCTAAGTAATATGCTGTAATTCCAAAAGTCGTACAGGTTTGTTTTATGACTTATCACCGTAAGCATGTTAATTATATATTTTTTATTTCTACTCCATTAAAACTTCATGGAAAGTAAAAACAAAACTTCATGGAAAGTAAAAGCAAAACTAAAAAGAAAATAGAAAAAGAATATTAAGATGTCAGGTTACCAGGGGCATCATTATAAACATTTGTTATCACTGTATAGTAGGGAAAATTTTCTAATTATTTGCACCATGTTTTTGAATTCTGTATCAGTGAAAATTTATTATATGTTGGTACCTGCTCTGAAAGCTGAAGATTCATTCTGTTCACATATATCTGCGGCCTGAATAGTCTTTTGGAGAATGGTGACCTGAAAAAGAAAAAAAAAAAAAGACACTAGCCTTCCTATATGTATGATGCTTCACTTTTTACCTTTAGTGCTACGAATATACACTATTCATAAGTTAACTTGGTCAAAATTGGTATAATCATATAGGAATATCATATATATGAGACCAAAGTGAACAAAGTAACAAACTGGATAAAACCCAGTATTGTTGATAAAAACTAAAAATAAACAAACAAAAAAACCCCATCAGGGTAATTTAGTAATATTTGCTTAAAAACTGTGGTCTTTGACAAGGCCCTCTAGGAATGTAATGGAAACATAAAAGTATATATATGTAGATATGTATAAAGATGCTCACTGAGGCAATGTTTAGAGGATTAAAAAAATGTAAATAGTATATACACATACACATCTATATGAATGGAAAAACAGCTTTATCTCTGGGGTATACATTATGGGAGACTACCACTTATATATGATAGATTTCAGTGTTTGTTTTTATTATTTTTGTAATCAGTATAAACAAAGATTAAAAAAGAAACTTGAGTATTGAAACTTAAGCCTGATCCTGCTTTCCTCTCTAATCTCATCCAAAATATCTATTCCAAGTTGTGAAATGGGTAAACAATGCTACTTCCCAAGAATTTTGAAGAAAAATAAAATCATAGAGCTCTTTGTAATTACAGAAAATGCTCAGAGTACTTAGGTAGACATGGGAGTATGATAGCTAATTCTCCTTCTAACTTCCTCAGCAAGCACCAAAATGTCTCTGATTATGGACCTGAGACCTTATTTTGAAAAAGCTCCATTTACCATGCAACCTAAACCAAAAATTACTTACTTTGTTGGGAGGCTCCTTATGAAAATAGGTCACTTCTCCAGTGTCTGTTCCCACAAGAGCCAGGAGATTCTGAATCTTTTTCTTGTCTTCCAGCTCCCTGCAATTCACAGAGAGTAAACACACATTGTACAAGTAAATTTTTCTGTTTTTAAAGGATCTCCGTTCTTATTTTTAAAATAACGGTAACCTCAAATTAAAATTGAATAGGGTTTATCTAGACCTCAGCACTAGTTTTTAAAATATCAGGTACATATAGTTAGGAATTCAGAGAGAAGGGGTCAGAAATTAATTTCTTAGTTGGTTCTAGAAAAGAACTGTAGAGATGGTAGCGTATACTACTCCGGGTCTCCACTTCAGGACAGATAGGTTCATTTTCCCCACAACCAGCAATGTTGCAGGCTGATGGCTCAGCACTGAATCTCTCTCCAAAACCGACATCAGTCAAGGGGACAGCCTTAGCCAAGGAACAGCCTGCACCCAGTGCCCAATCCTCTTCTCTCAATTTTGGATGCTTCTGAAGGCCCATCACAACTTTAGAGCACTCTGTGGAATTGACTGAGTCTGGCTGTAACTCAGTCACAGTTCAACTTCTACCCAGACTTTTCTTATTCTCTCATAAGTAGTTATTCCAGAAAACACTCCCCAGTGAAATTCCTGCAAGTAAATTTTCATTGCAGAGTCTGTTTTCCTGGGAATCCAACCTAAGACAGTTTATATCAGATATGGACCAAGGAGGCAAACTCTAAGACGAGATTTTAGAGCTGGTGATCTGAAGATGATTTATAGAACATAATATTCTTAGCAGCAAGACAGATGGCAGGGGTGCGGGTCAACAGGGTATCGCTTAAACAATTAAATCAAAAGGGAAGAGAGGATGATCACTGTGCCCTATATAAAATCACAACCTCTGACCCATTTTCCACACCTCATCCAGTTTAAAGACCCAGAGACAACTACCTGAAGGAGGAACTGGGTCTCCAAGGAGGTAGGACTTGGTGACATCACAGCAAGTATACACGGTAATGATTCCCTTAGTCCTCCCCAAAGGGTTATGGCTATTTATTCAAGTAATTGCACATTGTGGGGGAAAAAACACCCAGGCATTTCAAAGATTGCTTGGTATACGGCCTGAGTTGACCCTGATATAGAGTGACTTGAAGCATTATCATGGCATTGAGGCATATAGGAACCAGGTAATACATGGAATTTTGGTCCAGGTCCAGCTCACAACAAGCCCACTGGATCCAGGCTCAATCAGTGCTCACTTCCCCCATCTCCAAATGAATAACTGGAATGAACATATTTGGTAGTTAGCAAAACCTCCGAACTGGTTTCTTGGCTTCAGGTTAAGATAAGTGGAAACCTCTGAAACTGCCCTTCCCCACCCCAAGATGGCAAAGACCTGCTGGATGTAGGGGTGAAGGTCTTCATCATATACTCAATTCAATCACAAGTATGACCTATGCAAAACCAGATGGATAGTAGTAGACTACTAACAAGCAGGTCTCAATTTCAGTCACTGTGCTAGATGTAGTGTTTTTGCTAGAGCAGATTAACCTGGTCCTAGATACATGGTATATGGCTACTGATTAAGCTCTTGTATTCCTATCCATTCCTAACAGGACCACAAGCAGTTCTCACTCATGTAGGGTGAACAACAGTATACGTTTACTGTATCTAGTCTTTATCTAGGCCCATATTAACATTTTGGCCCTCTATCAAAAAATCAGGAAGGACCAGAATCAGAAGGGATCAGAGTCGGGACATTCTAAGATGACATTAGTTCACTATTGAGGATGTCATATTAAATCAGACTGGATAGGTAACAAATGGCAAGTGCATTAGGAACCTTGATAAAGTACATGTGCTCCAAAGGATTGGAGGTTAACTCTATAAAGCATATCAGTGAAGTGTTCAGGGTCTGACCTAGGCATGCTAGAACATTCCCTTCAAAGCAAAGGACAAATTATTTCATCTCATACCTACCACCTCCAAGAAGGAAGCTAAATATTGAGAAAGACTGTTCAGGTTCTGGAGACAACATGTCTTTTGAATAATGCTCTGACTTATACATCAAGTGACACCAAAGGTGAACTTTCAGTGTGGCCCAGAGTTGAAAAAGTTCTGCATTAGGTCAAGCCTAAAACTAGTAAGGAGATTGAATGAGTAATCAAAAACCTGACAAACAAAAACCCGACAAACAAAAACCCTAAACCCGATGGCTTCATTGGTGAATTATACCAAACATTTTAAAGTCTAACACTAATCATTTTGAAACTTTTCTAAAAATTGAAAAAGAGGCAATACTTCCTAACTCATTCTATGAGGCCAGAGTTGCCCTGATACCAAAGCCAAGAAAAATACAAGAAAACTACTACTGAGCAATATCCCTTATGAACATTGATACAAAAATTCTCAACAAAATACTAGCAAACTAAATTCAGCACCATACTAAAAGGATTATATACCATGATTGAGCAGAATTTATTCCTGAAGTGTAAGTATAGTTCTATATGAAAATCAATCAATATAATACACCACATTAACAAAATAAAGGGAAAAAACATATAATTATCAACTGATACAAAAAAAATGCATTTGACAACATTCAACCCCTTATGATATAAACATTCAACAAACTAGGAATAGAAGGAAACAATATCTATAAAATATAAGTAATGTATGAAAAACCCACAGTGAATACCATATTCAATGGTGAAAGACTGAAGTTCTCCTCTAAGATCAAGAACAAGACAAGGAGGCCCACTTTTGCAACTTCTATTTAACATAGTATTGGAAGTCCTAGCTAAAGCAAGTAAGCAAGAAAAAGAAAAGATATGCAAATTGGAAAGGGAGAGGTAAGATTATCTTTGTTCACAGATGACATGATCCTATATGCAGAAAACCCTAAGATATGGAAACCCTATGTAGAAAATCCTAAGCATACCACCAAAAAAACCAAACAATAGAAACCCAAAACACAATTTTAGAGCTGACAAGTGAATACAGCAAAGTAGGAAAACACAAATTGAACATGCAGAAATCAGTTGCATTTCTATACACTAACAATGAACAACTAAGAATTCAATTTATAATAGCACTGAAAAGAATAAGATACTTAGGAATTAAGTACAGGCTTGTACACCAAAAACACTGCTGAAAGAAATTAAAGAACGCAAATAAATGAAAAGACATCCCACGTCCATGGATCAGAGGACTTAATATTAAGATGTCAATATTACCCAAAGAAATCTACAGATTCAGTGCAAAACCTCACTGACATTTCTATCAAAACCTCAATGACATTTTTTGCAGAAATGGAAAAATCCACCCTAATAATTCATAGGGACTCTCAGGAGACTCCAAAGATTGTTTTGAAAATCTTGAAAAAAAGAACAAAGCTGGAGGACTCACACTTTTTGACTTCAAAACTTACTATAGCCCTGGCCAGTGTGGCTCAGTTGGTTGGACCATTTTCCCATATACCACAAGGTTGTGGGTTTGCTTCCTGGTCGATGCACATACCTAGATTGTGGGCACATCCCCAGTTTGGATGCATATGAAGGCAACCAATCAAGGTTTCTCATTTATATCTATGTTTCTCCCCCCCCCACCCCCAACCCCCCACCCTTTAAGCAGTGAGCAAATGTCCTCAGGAGAAGATAGAAAAATAAAAATTAAACCCCTCTCCTGAGACTCCCGTTCAATATGGAAGCGTAGATATATATGCTGCGCCTCCTTGCATGACCACAGCAAAAATTACACCTACACTACATAACAAATATCACCCAGATTTGTCAGATATTTGAGCTGTATGGAAGTCTGACAACCACGGATTTAAGAAACTCATTCATCCAGATGGGTAGAAGCAGAGATATGGAGATAGGCAGAGAGGTGGAGAGGTGCGGAAAGGCACAGAGAGACAGTAGAATGGACAGTCCCACATTCTCATGGGGTGGATAAAAATCAGGAGGGATACCTTGGGAGCAAAGGATCCCAGCCTGAGACCAGATCACCTACCCCAGGGTTCTAGTGCCAGGAAGATAAGTCCTGTAACTTCTGGCTGTAAAAATCAGTGGGGGTTGGGACAGCAGAAGAAACTGCAGGATTCACTGGAGACTCCTCTAAGAGGGCTCACAAAGGTCTCAGAACTTACGCAGACCCACCCCCTCTGAGGTCCAGCACAAGGGCAACAGGTGAAAAGGCACAAGTGGCATATGGAGAGACAGTGAAGTGACTGGCAACAGGGTGAGGGCCAGGAGACAGCTTTCTCCTAGGAAAATCTCCAGAGGCCAGGCAACAGCACTCTTTTTTCTCTGAGCCCTTCTGCACACAGAGCCATAAAGTGATGAAACAACTTGCTCCACCCTAGTGATTACCTACAGCTCTACCCCGCACAATTCACAAATATGCTCTTCTACAATAGGCAATGCTACTAAGTCAGGGAGTCAAAGCAGCTCTATCAAATACACAAAAACAAATACAGGGAGGCTGCCAAATTGAGGAGACAAAGAAGTATGGCCCAAATGAAAGAACAGATCAAAGCTCCAGAAAAAGAACTAAAAAAAATGGAGATAAGCAACTTATCATGTGCAGAGTTCAAAATACTGGTTATCAGGATGCTCAAGGGACTCACTGGGTACTTCAACAGCATAAAAAAGACACAGGCAGAAATGAGGGTTGCATTAAATGAAATAAAGAAAAATCTACAGGGATCAACAGTGGAGAAGGTGAAGCCAAGAATAAAGTCAACAGTTTGGAACATAAGAAAGAAAAAGCATTCAGTCAGAACAGAAAGAAGAAAAAAGAATTTAAAAAAACGAGGATAGACTAAGAAGCTCTGGGACATCTGCAAACGTACCGACGTTCAAATCACAGGAGTGCCAGAAGGAGAAGTGGAAGAGGAAGAAATTGAAAACTTATTTGAAAAAATAATGATAGAAAACTTCCCTAACTGGTAAAAGAAATAGACATACAAGTCCAGGAAGCACAGAGAGTCCCAAAAACATTGGACCCAAAGAAGACAACACCAAGACACATCATAATTAAAATGTCAAATGTTAAAGATAAAGAGAGAATCTTAAAAGCAGCAAGAGG